TGTGTGTGTGTGTGTGTGATGGTTTAAAAAAAGACAGTAAATGTTTGCAGTTATGTTCAAGATTAGCATCTGAGGGATTTGGTTTAAGAAACATTTTGGGATCTACCTCATCATTAAATAGGTCAAAATATCATAGACACATAGAGTTGGAAGGGAGCTTGGAGGTCTTCTAGTCCAACCCCCTGCCCAAACAGGAGAACTTATGCCATTCCAGTGCAATGGTTGTCCAATCTTTTCTTGAAAACCTCCAACAATGGAACATCCACAACTTTTCTCATATGTAAATAGGTGATTACATGCTATAACAAAGTCAGTAATGCTGTTGTGACCTATTGTGCTGTCACGTATTTCATAAACACACATGAAAAATAAAAACAAACCATTTTGCTGATTTGCAAGTTAACAAAGAAGCAAACCTTAACTTACCAATAAGAGACACAAAGCCCTTTCACATTTTCACCCCTTCTGAAATCCAGTCCTATTTCTTGTAATAAAAAAGGCAAAATTAATTAACACAATTATCATACTTTTTCAATGAAGTGCCATCAATTTTGATTCAGTTTCATAATAATTTTATTCTGGAGAAAAACACTGCAAGAGGGGACTTGGCGCACGTAGACCAGGATGCTTGAAACCAGCCTGCTGCCAATCATGAAATCTTAGCCACTCTTCCATCTTTCCTTTGGGAAATGGACACTGAAATAAAGCCATATTTTCTCGAAGTTTTGTTTTAGTATTTTAAGTAGGAAAATGGGTACCTTGAGGATCTGACTTTATTCTATTAGGACAGGTTATAAATACTATAAATACATACAGACCTACATACACTTCAATTCTTTATCTCACCCTAAAGTCACACTTGGCATATAAATTACTAAATGCTACCACACAGATGCTAGATGCCTATCATGCATACCTAAAACTAACTTCAATGACTGGAATCTATGAAGAAAAAATACCTCACAAAACCAGTTGAATATGACTAACACTTCTCTGCCTGGAATGCATATCATCCTATATCAAATTCTTAACTCACTTCAAGAGCTGAGAATGCCAGGTGCTAGGTCATCACACAGGTAAGCAAGAGAGTTTCCAAATTTAATCTCTATTGATCCTTTGCCATATCTGAATACAATCTTCTTATATTATTATTATTCATTAGTATTACAATAACATTTTCCCATCACTCTCCCATACACAGGGAAAACATTCATCCTTTCTTCCAGTTAAGACTGTGGACGCTGGCCAAAGTCTGCTGTGCACCTTTTGCCGTGCAGATATCTAGTTTGAATGCAGCAACGCAAAGGGTGATTTCTAACAGTCTCCAATTTAAAGAGGGTTTTTCAGGTAGCTGCTGCTGGTTGTTTAGGTGTCTTTCCCTCTCTTCTTTTGTCCCTCATCCCTTACTCTTCTTAGGCTGCTGTCCCAGAAGTACAAGATCCATCCAGCTGTTCCTTTCATGAAACTTGGATGCAAGTCCACCCCATAACCAGCAACAATGTATAGAATGCCTTCTTCTTGCTGTTTTCTCCATGGGATTATGCTCTAGACCAGAGGTGTCAAACTCGCAACATCACATGACGTGTCGCGACGTATCGTGACTTTTTTTCCATTGCCGGCAATGGGGTGGGCGCGGTTTCGGCATGAAGCATCCAGCCCATGGACTGGCAGTTTGACACCCCTGCTCTAGACAGGTTCCTGTATCTTTGCAGGCTCCATGAAAAATAGTTAGGCAACAAGTGAAGATATTCCTAACAAGGAATTGGGGCCATTGGGAACAATGTGTTTGCTATCCTTTGGTTTGTCAAGCCACAGAAGTTCTGCTGGAGAGATTAATTAGCAACCTCACACATGTGCCTGCCTATCCAGTTCAAATTCTCCATCCCATTGGGTTCAACAAAAGCTCTGATTTTGTCACGTGTTGTTTTTTTTGTTGTTGCTAGATTGGACTACATAAGGATCAGTGCGACACATCCTAGCAGAGCCTGGAATAAGTTGGCCCCCAAATAATATTGTGAGATAGGAGAGAGTTTCCTCAACCATTTCCCTGTCCTACGGATGGGAGTAAACAAGGAGAACAAGTTTTAGTGTCATGAAAGAGGCGGCAATCTTGCGGAAGGGATGCTGAGATAATTAGCTCATAGATAACATGAATTCATGGAGAGGCTTTTCAGTGTTTCTTAGCTTTAAATGTGTTACTTCCTTCCTATATGAAGACATGAAGCAATTCCACTGAGCTAAGGTTATTTCTGCTGGTACTTCATGCTCATAGCGTCAGTGACTTGGCTCAGCATGGAATTAGCATCTATCCCAGTTTCAAAAATCCATTTTCAATTCTGGTGTGTGTGTGTGTGTGTGTGTGTGTGTGTATACATGTATATGAACAGGGAGAAAGAGAGAGAGTTAGGGAAGAGCCTGAGACAATGCACAGATATAATATGTTCAGAGACGTTATCCCCACTACAAATGATGCTTTGTTCTGAGATACAGTTTATTAACGTTGGCAAGAGATCGATTCTTACTCCTTGCATTTATCCCCATCTATGAAAACCACAAAAACAACGTCTTCTTTTAATTTCAAACTATATCAAAATGTGCATAAAAGTGGAAAACACGAGTCAGCAAAGTATTCCGGGTAGTTGAAAATAAATAGCTAACTACCGTACTAATAATGCCTCACAAGAGCCAGTTTGGTGGAATGGTTAAGAAGGCATCATGACAGAAACAGGGGGCTATTAGTTCTAGTCCTGCCTTAGGCACAAAGCCAGCTGGGTGATCTTGGGCCAATCACTCTCAGGCAGCCCTAGGAAAGAGTCAATGGCAAACTATTTTTGAAAAAACTTGCCAAGAATGCCTCAGGGAGTTGAGTCTGAGTCTGAGATTTGGACACAAATGAATGCAAAAAAAAAGCCTCGCTCATCTATTTTCCTTTTCATTACAAAGATCCCCGGGGAATACCATGATATTTGGCAAACCTAGTAAATTGAAGGTGCATTCCCGAAGAGGACATATTATGTCATTCCAGAAAGAGGACATATTATTCCAATATTTTTTTTAAAAAAAAATTACATGGAGACTTAGTCAATCTTGACCTGAAGAAAATTTCACCTTTCTTTCTTACAGTTGGATTCAAAATGTAATTGTTCACACTGAAGAATGCATTAGGGAAATTTATGAAACAAAATTCATTATTAGGATAATTTGTTCTTTTTTAAAAAAAAAAACAAATCTCAGAATCTGTATTAACCGCCATATAAATTGCCTAAAGATATTATGGATGTTAAGGAAAGTTGTAACTTTACTGCAGCTTTTTCGCCATTTTTAAAGATTATGTATGTGAAAAAAAATCTATAATTAAAGAAATGATGGATGGTAACTAATCAAGGAGAGAAGCAACCTAGAACTAAGGAGAAACCTCCTAATAGTGACAACAATTAACCAGTGGAACAGCTTGCCATCAGAAGTTGTAGGACTTCATCACTGGTGGTTTTTAAGAAGAGACTGGACAGTCACTTGTCTGAAATGATATAGGGGCTCCTGCTTGAGCGGGTGGCTGGACTAGAACACCTCCAAGGTCCCTTCCAGATTCTATTCTGATTGTGATATTGATCTACATATTCATATAATGAAGTCAACTTCAGAGCTTCTAAAATATTTGCTTTTCATTTTCATCCTTTCTCATTTCCAAGTGAAGAATTATATATGGCCATAGAATGCAATGAGGCACTTTGCTAAAAGTCCCCAAGCTGAATGCAAACTTCTAACATACTTAGAAACATAGAGGGCAATATCTAATTACATTGAAACTGCTCTCTTTTCATTTTCTTTAGGAGGATACTATTCCATCTATGGACAAGATATATGTGATTAGTAACAGTGCTCAATTATTAAACGGAAAAGCAAGACTTTGGGGAAAAGAAATGTTCTCCATGGTGTCACTGCTTCTTACTTTAAAGAAATATTTATTTAGTTAGTTTTCTACGCCACTGCAGGCATGTGACCCTAGACAATATATAAAAGAAATGAACAACGTATAATCATAAAGCATCAACAAAATACAAACAATATAAAAATTAAGAACAACTAACAATACAAACATACATCCTCAGGATAAGCACTGACTTATCCTGACAGCAAAACTGACAGCAAAAATAACATCAAGGCTAATGTAGCTTCTTTTGGGGAAGCTGTTCTATAACACAGGCAAGATATACTTATTTTACAACCTATACATTTTAGGAACTTATTACCTCTTTGTTATTTCTTCACTTAGCAGAAAAAAAGGCATATATTGGGGGCAATAATTCCAGGGAAATTACAGTGGTCTTTGATAACACTGTATTAATTAGAATGTCTTCTCCATGCCTGCTAAATGTAATAATTGTTTGTTCTAAATCTTAAATATATTGTGTGGAAGTAATTTATATCTGTTAATCAATACACATTGCCGTATTAGTGTGTTAGAGGGGGATTTCACAACTTCTTGTCTACTATGTTTTAAGCACGTTGGGTCCTTGTTCTACCTGCAATTTGTGATGTTGTTCTAAAAGAAAATCTCTGCATGTTGGAAAATCTTTTCAAATTAGTGAGCGTGAACTTGGGACTCTTCTGGTTGAATTTGAAACATCTTAATGTTATTAAGGAACAGAGTATCACAACAGGAGTGCAATAATGAGTGGAACAATAATAGTTTGTGTGATAAGAACTCTTACAAAGAAATGTGTGATGTGCGCGTTTCTTGGTGTTGATTTTTATGTTAAATGGAACTGCATGGGTGTACAGCTTAATATGTAATTATGTCCAAGTTAATTGGTCCTCATTTAATTCCTTCCACTACTTCTCAAACAGTATGGTGTTCCAAATCAAACTGTATCCTTGTTTTAGATAAAATTGAAGATGAATTGGAAATGACAACAGTATGTCATCGACCAGAAGGATTAGAACAACTTGAGGCACAAACCAATTTCACAAAGAAGGAACTTCAAGTGCTTTACAGAGGATTCAAAAATGTAAGATGGTAAAATGTACTTATTATGAACTGATCAGTAAATCAGAACAGGAAAAAAAGTTTTTCTTAAGTCCTTCTTTAGATCTAAGATCAGACAGATAAAAGGCTATTGTGCTTATTTTTAATGTCATAAAGATACATTCAAAAGGATGCCAGGCTGAAAACATGCAGCTCACCTGTTAAATGTAGCCTGTGTTGTAGTTTTCTCACGTGTGAAATGGATGAGTTAATAGCTCTGTAACCTGGCAATTTCAGCCAAGCATTGTTTCTTCATTGTGTCAAATTAGATTTGGGACAGTCCATTATTGCTTTTGGATATCCTGGAAATATTTTGTATTTCCCAATTGTGGTCATATCCCATTCAGTTCATATCTTTAAAAAAAAAATCCTCGCATTTAAAATTAATTGCTGAGGAGTTAGACATATCTGTTCCAATTGTTTGACAATAACAGAATGAATTACTTACCAAAATAAGTATTTGTAAGCTCTGATTTTCACTGAAGTTCTCTTTTCCTTCCATAGTATTATGAAGCTGCTTTTTTTCTTGGGAGGTGGGAGGCAGATGGCACAATGTGACTATTTCAAAGATAAAATATTAAATTTCTCCTTCCTTCCTTCCTTCCTTCCTTCCTTCCCCAAATCCTACTTTCCATTATTAATTAATGTGAGTCTTTTTAATATGCAGCTTGAACAGTGAGCTATCGCTCTCCATAGTGATAGCTTACTGTTCAAGCTGCATATTTAAAAGACTCACACTAATTAATAACTTGATTCTGCCACAATTTTTCAAAACGTATTCAGAAGGTACAATTGTATGGCTTTCACTGTGTATATTATTAATGTAGTGGATTCAAATGGAGAGAGCCAGATTAAGGAACAATAAAATGCATATATATGTTGTAATTTATCTTAGTCTAAAATTCTACAGTTTGGGGAGCTATAACTGTGCTCAATAGCGCAAGACTGTTGAGATTGCAAAGAAACATATGACTAGCAGATAAAATTTCTACTTCAGCAATGAATCATAAGTATCATTCATGAAATACATTAATTTCATAAAAAGCAAAATGTTTCATAGCATTAGTTTTTGATAAGATGTGTGGTAGTAAAGTCTTTGCTTCATTACTCATCCTGATTCCAATATTTCTAAGGGAGATGTATTTTGCTATGTTTCATCTCAATCAATTTGCCAAAGCTTTTCAGTGTCAGGATAGATCCAGATCTTTGTGTACAGCAAACCAGTTACATCCTTATACAATTCAACATTTTTAAATAGAAATTGGCCAGAAAATTGCTTTTATTTGCTAGAACAGAATTTGAAAACTTGAATGAATATCTGCATGTATTAGATAGATTATTATTGAACTATTATTATCTTTAAGAAATTGGCAATGTTCATGTAACAAAAAATGTAAAACTTAGAGTGTCCTTGGCCAGGGCTGGATTAAGGCCAACTGATGCCCTAAGCACAGCACACAGTGGTATCCCTCAATCCTTCCATTGCTTAAATGACAAAACATTAAGACCCATTAAGGGCTGAAAACTAAAGCTGAGTGTGTCAATGAAAGAATTAAGGACATGATAGCTAAGGGGGGGGAATCCGTGGTGCCCCCTCATCTTCTCTTAGTTCCTCATGATGTTTACATGCCATCAATTCATTTCCAATTCCAAGCAACCCCATGAATAGATTTTCTCCATGATGATCTGTCCCTAACCTGGTCCTTCAGCATTTCCAATGGTGTACTCATTGCCACTGTAACTGAGTCCACCCAACTTAGTGTTGGACAGCCTCTTCTCTTTCCTTCCACCTTTCCCAGTAATTATAGCCTTCTCCAGAGAGCTAGATACTTATATAATATGTGAGAAATAGACTAGACTAGACTAGACTAGACTAGACTAGACTAGACTAGACTAGACTAGACTAGAATAGAATAGAATAGAATAGAATAGAATAGAAGCTGGAAGGGTCCTTGGAGATCTTCTAGTCCAACCCCTTGCTCAAGCAAGAGAACCTATACCATTTCAGACAAGTGACTGTCTAGTCTCTTCTTAAAAATCTCCAGGGATGGAGCACTCACAATTTCTGAAGGCAAGCTATTCCACTGGTTGATTGTCCTCACTGTCAGGAAGTTTCTCTTTAATTCCAGGTTGCTTCTCTCTTTGATCAGTTTCCAACCATTGTTTCTTGTCCTGCCCTCTCGTGCTTTGGAGAATAATTTGACCCCCTCTTCTTTGTATCAGCCCCTCAAATACTGGAATACTGCTATCATGTCACCCCTGTTTCTTCTTTTCTTTAAACTAGCCAAACCCAAGTCCTGCAGCTGTTCTTCAGATGTTTTAGTCTCCCAGCCTTTAATCATCTTAATTGATCTTCTCTGAATTTTTTCAAAACTCTCAGCATCTTTTTTGTGATATGGTGACCAAAATTGGCTGCAGTATTCCAAGTGTGGTCTTACTAGGGTTTTATAAAGCGGTACTAATACTTCACGTGATTTTGATTCTATGCCTCTGTTTATACAACCCAGGATTGTATTAGCTTTTTTGGCTGCTGCTGCACAATGCTGGCTCATTGCCAAGTGATCATCCACTTGAGCCTCAAGTGAGAATCCTAGATTGATTGGTGCCCTAAGTATATATTTATCATTGTGAGGAAAACCCTAACTAAAAGCAAAACCAAGGTATTTGAGAAATAGAAACAATGAAGTGTACTTATAAATACTTACTGGCAGACTGCAAAAGAGAGCCCTGAGCAAGCCCACTCCTCAGACAGTGCCATTTCCTCTGGAGTGCTTTGATTGACTGTACTGCTAACTTTTCACACCTTTCTGATGGTATCAACACACACCATAATCATTGGTGTCTATTTGCTTTCTGCTGACCATTTCCACCCCAGGGTCACAGCACTGGGTGTTAGGTTATGCGTTTATGTCTACCAAAAGCCATGATACGTTTTTATACATTTACTATAATGTGGAATGCCCCATACTGTTGTGTTATTTGTCCTTGGCCTCCCAGGTTGGAGGCAGATATTTAGTAGCATAAGAGGCAAACATTTAGGTACAGATACAATCCAAGTGCCTCCTGGCAGCTAGAGGAAGGCACTCTTTATCTTCCAAAAATGGCTCATAGCAAGGACAATATATCAAGCACTGGGTGGAGCACAGTTGAAAATTAAAAAAACTAAGTCTCAAATATGCAAGTCTGGGCTGTCCTGGAATGTTGGAAGCTGTGTTGGGTGTGTTCATGTAAGTGTTACTGAAAGTGGGAATCCCGTCTGATAAAAAGTGATGAAGCAAGTTTTATTCCTTCTGGCAACAGTAAGGAGAAGTATTCAGGGGAATACCTGATAGTGTCAGGGAAAACCTGGTCTAGCTAACTACATTTTTGGAAATTCAAATCCACCAACGTTCTGTCTTATTAATACCTTATGATATACTGACTCCAAGGAGATGATAGATTTATTTATTTGTTAGATTTTTATCCTGCCTTTATTACTTTGGAAATCAAGATTTAATATTATGTTCCATACTCCATATATATCGTTCTGCCTGCTCTTTGTCTGAGACAGTGCTAATCTGAGTTCACTTGTATCTGCCTTTTGTCCTAGCTGCACACGCACAGAGGACAGTCAACAGCATGGACTCTGTGCGTGTGCAGCTAGGACAAAAGGCAGATACAAGTGAACTCAGATTAGCACAGTCTCAGACAAAGAGCAGACAGAATGGTATATATGGAGTATGGAACATAATATTAAATCTTGATTTCCAAAGTAATAAAGGCAGGATAAAAATCTAACAAATAAATCTATCATCTCCTTGGAGTCAGTATGTCATAAGGTATTAATAAGACAGAACATTGGTGGATTTGAATCTCCAAAACTTTTAATATTAGTTTGCTCTTGGCAGAGACCTTAAATTCTGGAAACTCTGAGCATAGCTGACACGATCATTTCTGATTTCAGTATCAGGCTGATATGAATTATCCTGGCTATGCCCAATTTTTCTCTATACAACTGAGCACTTTTCTATGTCTCCACATGGATTAGGAAGGCAAGACTCTAATTCAAGGTGTGAGTCACAAGGGTCAAGAATATTGAGGACCTATATCAACTCAGAACATGGTTGTTAGTGTTGAGAGTGCTTGACTGATTCACCCTGGTCTTCATTGAAGGCTCACTCTTCCTTGCATTGAAATGTAGAAGATCTTGATATGTAGGTTATTTATAAAAATGGGTTTACAAAAAAAAGCGATTATATGATGGTATACTGTTGCATAGTATAAAAATGCACTGATATTTTTTTAATGACACTTTGGCAGAGAAACTCAAGAAAATTTAAGCTAGCTTCTGAATATTTAAGAAAAAAGGATTAAAAAGTAACTTGTTATTTTCTCATAAAGTTTCATATCCTAACTGTGAAAATTCTCGGTTTATAGAATTGTAAAAGAGCATCGGAATACCCCAATTAATCCTGATATGCACAAATGTCTACTTATATAGTTTAAAGGATTGTGCATAATTAACCAGACAGAATATTCATCAAAATCCTTAATTAACTAGTTTTGTCATAGTTAGGTTACTCCAACAGAAATTACATTAAGGGGCATACCTGCTTGATTTCCCAAGGAATAAGTCTGAAGATTTAGCTGTATTAAGTTATTATCTCTATTGCTAATGAGATCTCTTGAGCATTCTTGATTCTTGTGAAACAAAATTGTGACCATTTAAGTATAAATGAATTGGAACTAGTAGATGCATTTGAAAGCATACTATATTTTACATAGAAATACCAAACAATTTGGTAGGCACTGTGACACCAGATCATCTATATGTCTGTTTAGTCTAATTTGTTTGGAGGCTGACTGTTGAGGGACTGTTTCAATGTCTTCAGTTTTCTTTTTTAAAATAGTTCTTTACTTGTAAATCAGAACTGAATGGAATAGTCCTTGAAACTGATAATAGGTCCGCATAAAGTCAAATGTAACATTTAATAAGTTCAAGCGCACAGCAATGGCAATAGCACTTAGACTTATATACCGATTCATTGTGCTTTACAGCCCTCTCTAAACAGTTTACAGAGTCAGCAGATTGCCCCCCCTCCTAATAATCTGGGCCCTCATTTTACCGATCTCAGAAGGATGGAAGGTTGAGTTGATCTTGAGGTGGTCAAGATTGAACTGCTGGCAGTTGGCAGAATTAGCCTGCAATACTGCATTCTAATCAGTGGTGGGATTCAGCCAGTTCGCATCACTTTGGCAGAACTGGTAGCTAATTTTTTGTTGCCCAGACCCAGAATGGACTTCCGGAAGAGGCATCCGCACAGAGAACCGGTTGTTCCATATTTGAATCCCACCACTGATTCTAACCACTGTGCCACCACGGCTCAGTAGGGCATGTTTTTCTTAGAGGGTGATCTTAGGACCCCCCCAGGCCTCTGAGGGGTCCACAAATCAACATTATTTACCAGGCTAAGCTAAATAATAATTTAATATTAAAATCCCAATAAACAACTGAGAGAAGTGGTAGTGGCAGCGAATGCATCAATTTTAATTTTTACTATGGTAAGAATTACCATATACTATGGTATATCTATTGAAAGATATAATTATATGAACAAAGCCTCTTTGGGGATTCTCCATAATTTTGAAAAGTGGGGGAAAGCCCTGAGAGAAAAATGTTTTAAGAAATGTCTTAAGCACTTAGACTTATATACCACTTCACAGTTCTTTTCAGCCTTCTCTAAGCAGTTTATAGAGTCAGCATATTGCCCCCTGCAATCTAGGTCCTCATTTTACCCACCTCAGAAGGACGGAAGGTGGAGTCGACCTGCTTCAAGCATAGAATTTTATAAGACTTCCAGACTTATAACCATTTTCCGCATGTAATCCTCCATGATCTCTCATGACTTCTTCCACTTTTCTTTGTCATTTTTCACAAATTATTGCAACATTGGTATCATAAAAGCCTATCAATTGAGAGGGACTCTTGTGTTCATCTGTACATATTCATAATAGATTTCTGATCTATAAATACAAAAAAATAAATGTCTCTTTTATAACTTACTCCTTAATGTCCCAATTCCTTTTCTTTAGATGGCAGCCAGCTGGGCCATTTTGTAATAGTAATTTTATTAACCCTTACAATTAAAAAGATAAAAATGAATACGTTAGAGTAACAAAAAGAAATAATAATAATAATAATAATAATAATAATAATAATAATAATAATAATAATAATAATAATAATAATAATAATAATAATAAAGTTGGAAGGGACCTTGGAGGTCATCTAGTCCAACCCCCTGCTCAGGCAGGAAGCCCTATACCATTTTAAACAAATGGCTTTCTAGTCTCTTCTTAAAAACTTCCAGTATTGGAGAATTCGCAACTTCTGGAGGCAGGTTGTTCCACTGATTAATTGTTCTAACTGTCAGGAAATTTCCCCTTAGTTCTAGGTTGCTTCTCTCCTTGATTAGTTTCCTTCCATTGCTTCTTGTCCTGCCTTCAGGTGCTTTGGAGAATAGCTTGATTCCCTCTTCTTTGTGGCAGCCCTGAGATATTGGAACACTGCTATCAAGTCACCCCTAGTTTTTCTCTTCATTAAACTAGACATACCCAATTCCAGCAACCGTTCTTTATGTTTTAGCCTCCAGCCCCCTAATCATCTTTGTTGCCCTTCTCTGCACTCTTTCTAGGGTCTCAACATCTTTTTTACATCGTGGTGACCAAAACTGGATGCAGTATTCCAAGTGTGGCCTTACCAGAGTGTTATAAAATGGTATTAACACCTCATGTGATCTTGATTCTACCTTTCTGTTAATGCAGCCTAGAACTTTGTTGGCTTTTTTGGCAGCTGCAGCACACTGCTGGCTCATATTAAAGTGATTGTCCACTATGTCTCCAAGATTCCTTTCGCAGTTACTACTACTGAGCGAGGTACCACCTATACTGTACCTGTACATTTGGTTTTTCTTGCCTAAATGTAGAACCTTACTTTTTTCACCATTGAATTTCATTTTGTTAGATAGTGCCCAATGTTCAAGTCTGTCAAGATCCTTCTGTATATTAAACCTATCTTCTGGAGTGTTGGGTATTCCTGCCAGCTTGGTGTCATCTGCAAATTTAATGACTTCCCCATCTATCCATTATCCAAAACATTGATGAAGATGTTGAAGAGTACTGGGCCTAAAACAGAGCCTCAGGGTGCCCCACTGCATCCTTCCCTCCTTGTAGATGCAGTTCCATTGACGACTACATGTTGAATGTGATTGGTCAGTCAACTTCCCATATGTCATCTCTTATCTACGTACATATTTTTAAAATCTCATTCAGTCCCAGTCAGCAAAAGTACATTAAAGGTTACTAGAGATAACAACATATTTATTTTGACCTTGATCAAATAAAACAACTTTATATTCCTTCCTTTTACTTTTAGCCATCTTAATCTTTAATCCCTTCTAATAATGTTCTAAAACTTTATTTCTTTTAATTTCTTCTGTGTCTCTTCTCAGAAAATTCTTTAGGATTTTTAGGATCAAGCCACTCTTGATATTTGTTGTTTATATATCCCTTTTAATTAATACAAAAGCTGGTTTCATTTGTATAACTAGTGTAGCTTCTTTTGCCATATCATTTTTGTTGCTTATAATTTTTAAATCCACTTTTAGATCAGTCTCAATCTTATTCAGTAAAACTTCCATATCATGTTCCTCTTCCATGTCATCATTTAAACACTGTCTATTTTAACTCTTCATTTTACCACAGTCATCAGTTCCACTAAAAACAGAGCCATCTTCATTTTACCATTTCTTCCCCAGAGGTCTGTGCCAGTTGGGTCCTTCTGACAGAGAAAAGTCAAAGGTGCTAGGAAATGTTTTCAGTGCAAAGTAATTTTTTTCTCCTTTTGTTACTGTTCTAAGGAGCATTTGCTAATTTATCCTGCTTAAAGGTATTTTAAAGCTTCCCAATAAAACCAATAGGGCTTAATTTTGCTTACCCTCAGTGGGATTGAACTCATTTGCTCCTTCAAAACCTAATGCTCCTTAGCACTTCAGTGATGCCTGCTTTGTGAGGAATTACTTTAATTCTCATTTGTTCATTTTGTTCTCTTTTGGCTAAGCCTCTTCTGCCCCAAAGAAATTTAAATATCTAAACTCAAACACATATTTTCTTCAGAAATTTGCATTTCCAGATATTTCACTAAGTAGAAATCGAAAGCTTTGGGGTTTGCCTTAAGGCTGATCTGTCTGGGAATGTGGCAATAGCACCAGGATGATGCAGAGAGGAACAACAACAAATGAGTGTCAAAAGTATTCTAGTTTAATGATCAGTTATTTCCAATCTCTCAGTGAGCAAGCAAGGTAACAGAGGTGAACATAACTGCTGTAGCTAGGACCAGAAGGCATAGCCACAGCCTAAATCTGGTTAACAGCATGGGAGAGTCTTTTTGTTTATCTCAGTAGCTCCGCTTTGGTTTCCAACAGCCAGCAGTGCTAATACAAGTAACAGTCACCCTCCCCCCTATAGATGAGATCAGAATCTTGTCAACAGTTATGCTGCACATTTATAGGCAGTTTTACCTACAGGTAAATTGCAAAACAGCTGTGTCTCTTCAGACAATCAATTGTTCTCTAATTAGCTTTGATTCTGCAGTTCCTTTTTTGTAGGGATCAAATGAAATTAATTGCCTGAGGGGATCCAGCTCAGAATGATCTCCGCAGGTCTTTGTTCCAGGTGGCAAAATGGATTTTTGCACCCCCTTCAAGAGAGCAAAGATGTTGACTGAAACTTGATTTTCACTGCATGGTAATGGCAAAAGAAATTGCTTATTGAGTAAAGAGGGGAAAGTATTGATTAAAACTGCTGTAAGAGAGTTTCTTGTTCTAAGCATATAGCACTCAATGGTCAGAAATATGATAGTAAGAATGTACTGGGCACCAGGTGATATTGTAAATAAAAAGCAACAGCTTTACTCCTTGTTTTCCCCATAGGAATGCCCTAGTGGAGCTGTTAATGAAGAAACATTCAAACAGATCTATGCACAGTTTTTCCCTCATGGTGGTGAGTGACAACATTTCTTTTTTTGAGAATAGCTAGCTTAAAATATAGAACTCATGAGTTAGACAGAACCGAAGATACATTTTCTCCATCTATAGTTTTTTGAAAGAGAAGTATGAGAACTGAGAAAGAAGGAAACCACAAATAAATTACCTATGCTATGCACAATGGAAAATGAGAATCTGTTATCTATACTCTTTCATATCCTGGTTCTCAGAATCAAAAATGAACCCAGACGATATTCAGTCCAGCTCTGCCTATGTTTATTTTCATTATTTTAATAATATAATCTTCACTTGATTTGTGTTTTTCAGATGCTAGTATGTATGCCCATTATCTTTTTAATGCATTTGATACAGCGCAAAATGGATCTGTGAAGTTTGAGGTAAAGAAATCATAAGTGTTTTAATAATCTTCACGTGATTGTACCAAATACCACATTTTAATTGCTGATAGAATGCCCATTTGTCCTTAGTATGAGCAATAAGCCTTACTTTGTGTGCTTATGTGCAAATCTGTGCAAATCTCTGTGTGCATACACCTACATGAGGTCATTATGATCTCTTTAATAAGTTATTTCCTATACAAAATGAATGGAAGTCATGCATATGAATGGGCTTTTGGGTTTTTACCCTATTGTATCAATATTTTACAATGCAAATGTTTGGGATAGTTGATTTAATCAGTAAAGCTATGAATTCTAAAATGGATAACTCATATCTAAATATTTATTCATACCTGATTCAATGCCTATCATAGGCTTCTTAAGCATGCCTAAAATATGGCACGTTTTCTTCCACTTTCTACCATTTAATAGATTTAATAATATAAAAAATTTAATAATATAATCATCTGACTTCCCATTCTTTCAGCTGTTTTGGAAAAGTTGCATCTAGGTAGAGCCTGAATCTTACTGTCCTGACCTTTGAATTTACAAAGGAATTGTTAAGTATAACTGAACATTTTTATATGAGATCTTGGTTCTAATAAAGCATCATTTGCAAATGTTGCTCAATCGAAAGCTCAGAGAAAGCATTTTCATTTGAGTAAAGCAAATTAGTATTCAGTTAAATCAGATTTGAATTTGTATTCCTGGATTTACAGGATTTTGTGATGGCGCTCTCCATTCTTTTGAGAGGAACAGTTCATGAAAAACTACGATGGACATTTAATCTCTATGACATAAATAAAGATGGCTATATAAACAAGGAGGTAAGATGGTTTATAGTACTCTCCAGGGTTTGGGCTGCTGATTAAACCTGCAAAATGCAATTCAGGATTGGCATCAACCTACCCACTGTAAAGTTTTCTATTACTAGCTCTGGATTAAATCTTTCTAAAAAAATGAATAATGAATGAGCTTTTAGTATATATAAATTATCAGTATCTATGCACTTCTAACCATCTTGTCAAACATGTCAAACATCTGCTGTACAAAATATAGAATAACTGTTAGATACATATAGACAAAGGGCATTAAGCTTTTTTCCCACACCCTGTTGGAGCTAAATCTGCCTTGCTACAAGGAGGAATTCTGTTTTTACCCTGAGACTGATCTTGCTTCCCATGTTGCTTTAGTTCAGGACTAGCTGAGAAAACCACTTAATGCTTAAAACGAGCAGGGAAGGAAATATTACAAGCAAGTATCTATTTTTTCTGGAATTCATTAATAAAACAATAAAGATAGTGCCATAGCTTTCAGCATACAAGATTTTTTAAAATTGGTTTTATAAGGATTACGATAACTGGAAGGTGCCAATATGAGATAGACCAGCGGTTCTCAACCTATGGGTTGTGACCCCATTTTGGGTCGATCGACCATTTCATGGGGGTCGCCAAGCAAGGCTATCCGCCATTTTTTCCCCTTTTCCGGCGGGTGCCTTACCTCCCTTGAGCTGGGCCAGCTGGTGGTCGGCCTGCTCTGTCTCTGCCGCTTGCCAGCTACGCCTCGGCCGGCGCAGGGGGCGGAACCACGCATGAGCGGCGCTCCCGGGCAGGGAAAGTCCTCAACTTACGACCAGTTGGGTAGTCCTTGACTTACGACCGGTTTAGTCCTCGACTTACAACCGGTTTAGTCCTCGACTTACGACCGGTTGGGGGTCGCGGCATTAAAAAGGTTGAGAACCACTGAGATAGACGGTGAAAGAGAAAGAAGGAGAGAGATCACACGATAGCCTTGCTCAGGGTTTTTAGGCCATACTTACAAATACTGTAGTGTCTGTATTATCATCAGTCTTCCCATGTTGACAAGAGATTGTCTAGAGGGGCTTTTATTTCTATCCATGCAATTAAAAAGAGTTGAGTTGAGTTGAGTAGAGATGATGATATGATATGAGGTGAGATGGGATGAGTTATCAGAATTCCAATTATGTGTTGTTACAGTGTGGTCTCTCTCCTTCTTTCTCTTTCACCATCTAACTCATATTGGCACCTTCTAGAAGTCTTAATCCTTATAAAAACAATCAACTCTATCAGCATTCAAAAGTGGAAGAGCAATACGGACCTTCCATTCAACATAGAAATTAGGGATGCTGGAGATAAACCCTGGAGAAGGCTTCTCATCTCTGCTACTGGGGTTTATGTACCCAAAACATGATGCGCAATAAATAGTAAACCTTTAACTGCAATTAATTGAAGAGAGGCATTTTAACTTTGTCCAGATCACACATCTTTGTCCAGAAACACATTTATATAGATATTAACAAAATTAAGAGGAATTGAGACATTGCATGGAATTGAGTAGTGTATGCTTCAAAAACAATAACAACATAGCAGAGCAGAAAGCACTCTGGTTGCTGGGTGCCTTGTCCCAGACAAAGCTTTTTGGAAGAACAGAATGTCTGTCTTGCATCTCAGCAAATCATTTCTTTGGAAAAACATGAATACAAAGAGAGAAGTACATAGTGCATTTATGGCTGCAGTAATAATCTCACAGATAAATTTGCAATGCACAAAGCACCATATGTCAACTTGGCCATTTTAGCCCTTTACAGATTTACATGGCAACAACTTCCTTCAATATGTTCAATAAATTACACAAGCTCATTATATCTTTTGAGCCACACACTATGCCAGGAAATGTTTGCAAGGAATATCTGTGCTGTTCTTTGAAATGGAACAGGCAAACATCAGATTCATCCAATAACTGGGTTGAATTTTGTGACAGGGAATAACAGCAGAGTCTCTTCATATATTAGTCCAGTTCTAATCCAAGTGAGACTTATTCCCAACTTAATTAGATTAGAACTGAGAAACTAAGAAACTAAGAGAAACTGAGAACTGAGAAACTAAGGAGAATTTTTCTAATGCTGAGAGCAATCAACCAATGGAACCGTTTGCTTTCAGAAGTTGTGGGTTGTCCATCACTAGAGGCTTTCAAAAAGAGACTGGACAACCATTTGTCTGAAATGGTATAGGGTCACCTGCTCGAACAGGACTAGAAGACCTCCAAGGTCCCTTCCAACTCTATTATTCTATGTTCTATTGAGATTCTGAAGGGTATGTTATGTTTTCCAAGGGAAAATGAACGAAAGCTAGAACTTTATTCAAGAACTAGCCTGGATCATATAGTACATACAATACTGTTTTCATTTTTGCAGAAAAATTAAAATATTTTAACAATTAAATTAAAACATTTTAATTTCCTTTCAAAAATACTTTTTAAAGAATGTATAGTAACACCTAGAAGCAGGAATCAGCATCAGACAAACAACTGGGCAAAAAACTATAATCTAATCAAATCTAACCAAGGAGCAAACTACAACTCCACCATTACCTCATAAGCTACTATGCATAAACAGACAAAAAAACCCATCCTTATTCACACTGATAATATTACCTATTACCTATTTGGGAAATGAAATGTTTGCAAGCAAACAACCAAGCTCACCAAGAAATTCACAATTGCCTATTAGCTCATTGGTTCAGTTAGCATACGCACAAAACAAGTTAGTAAAATACATGAAGATATTTTTCCAGAGAGTTGTACTAGAGTTTTGCAGCAACACCTTTGGGATTAACAAGTTTATTAAGGTATGTATTTGATAGATAGGATCAAATAAAGTATGTGATAAAGTAAACAGCAAGTCCTTTAAGTTTATGTCATAATAGATGTGTTAGCTTTTAATGTGCTGCAAGATTTTTTACTTTTGGTGGAGTAAAAGCACTTAGCCGTCTTATTGCTTTACATATGTGAGACAAACAAAGGGTTGCATCCAGCACAACTGACATTTTCTTATGTACATATAATTGTTGACTGTACTGTATTGATGAGATTGATTGGTAATATCCAGTGATGGCTTTGCATGAATGAATAATTTCTTTATTAACTACAGCCTAAGGTGCCAATTAAAAAATTGGTCTTCAGAACTGAAGAAACACTCTATAACTGTAAGGAGATAGGAAGACCCATCTTGGATAAAGAGAAATGGGTTTTGCTAATGCAAAATTGTCATTGGATATAAGCTGCTGACAAAAATATCTGAATCTAATTTACAAATAACAATTCAGTATACTGCTCTATAAACATATTTATCAGAAATCTAATCCATGGTCTTGCAGATGCAAGTAATGTTCAACATGTGCCTTACAAGATCTCTAACAAGGCTAAACATAGCACCAACTCTGGGCATGCTGAACAAATTTTGTTTTGGGTAGAAAGGTTTATCGAATTCAAAGTTCCTAAGTAGACATTTTCTAATGAAAGAACCAAAACATAGGTATTCATAATACAATACATATATATTATTTTGCATTTATGTTTTAAACTTTCATTTGAAAATGTCTATATCATAGCCATGAACTTAATAAACCTTTTAATTGAAATAATTCTGTGTTATATTGAACAGAACAGAACAAAATAGAGCTGGAAGGGACCTTGGAGGTCTTCTAGTCCAGCCCCTTGCTCAAGCAGAAAAACCTATACCATCTCAGACAAGTGACTGTCTAGTCTCTTCTTAAAAATCTCCAGTGATGGAGTGCCCACAATTTCTGGAGGCAAGCTGTTCCACTGGTTAATTGTCCTCACTGCCAGGAAGTTTCTCTTTAATTGTTTCTCTCTTTGATCAGTTTCTAACCATTGTTTCTTGCCTGCCCTCTGGTGCTCTGGTGAATAACATGAGCCCCTTATGTTTTTAGTCAGCGTGCAGCTTTAAACTACAGCCCCCCTAACAGGGAATATTGCCATGTCAGTATTGTTTTGTTGTGGAAAATCAGCACTCAAAAGAAAAAAAAAGATTTCTAGGGTGTCATTGCCACATATTTGAAAAATATTCTTATTTGAGATCATCCTTGTGTTTTAATTGTCACAATTTCAGGAAATGATGGACATAGTAAAAGCAATTTATGACATGATGGGCAAGTATACTTACCCAGTGCTGAAGGAAGATGCTCCAAGACAACATGTAGAAGTATTTTTCCAGGTAATATTCGTGTGTTCCTACATTGAAAATTTATATTTTTAATCATTTTATATTTGGAGAATACAGTCTGTAGACATCTGAAGAACTTAGAGCTATGCTCTAAGCTTCCAAGCTTCTGCAGCATTTCTGTATTATGCTTCAAGACCAATACAAAGTCAAAGTGTTTCCGTTTCTCTTTCTTTTTCTTTACAGAAAATGGACAAAAACAAAGACGGCATTGTAACTTTGGATGAGTTTATTGAGTCATGTCAGGAGGTAAGGTCAGACTTCCTTCCTTCTACACTAAAACTAGTCAAGAAATCATCTTGATATGCTTCATCCACTATTTCACATCATTCCAATGTATTTATTTTTATTTATTAATCAACTTTACAAAGTCACTCACCTATCCACTGAAACTTTGAGTGACAAAGAGGATAAAAATATAATCAATTCATCCCTCCTCCTCAAGTTGAGGCTTCCCATGAAAATCTCAGGCCATGTCCATAAACCCCTATGTCCATATACCTATGCCAGAGCCTTTGTATCTAATATCTTGGCCCCGGTGCCTGCAGAAACAGGCAGGTCTTTGTGGTCTTGCAAAAGGTCCAAAGGGGTTCTGAGAACTTAAAACTATATGACCCATTCCGCTTATAGGAAAAAAATAGAGAAGTCGAAGTGTAAATAGAGGGTTGCACAGGATTGAAATTTGCACAATTTGCACAGATAAGAAGATGTACAAAGAGAAAAGAATGAAGGAAGTCAAAGCAACACAATAAATTGTGAAATTGAAAGTAAACACAAGGAAGATTCTAACTTCTCTAAGACTATTGCATAAAGGTCCTGATAAGGAAACAAATTACACTGAGCATGGTAGGGCTTAGCAATACAGAATAGGACTGAGAGAAGTTGAGACAGGGGCTTCTTTTGGAAAGCAGAACCAATTTATCTTGGGAGTCCCATTCTAAGTAGAGCTCAGTACAGAAATGGTCAAATGCATGAATATTTCATTCAAAAAAAGTAAACAAAATCTGTTAAAGTAAACACCCCTCCCCACACTATTATCCAAATACTTTGAGTTTTCCCAAGAATCCTATCAAGTAGAGGATTCTCATAGCAGGTCAGGTCCCCCCATTCTTCCATCCACCTGATTCCCCCACCCGGAGTTATATGCAATTGATATAAATCCTTATCAAGCTCAGGTAGACAAAGCAAGCTCACTCTCAAAACACAGTCTGGGCTTTGTTCCTGGATTTGGTCATGCAAAGCTTATGCAGCTTGGCCGGAAAAGCAGGATAGATTTGGACCATACAGGCAAGGCAGGAGCATTTTCAAAATTTCTTTTGGGGGTCTGTGCCTGCCCAAATCCACAATAGGCAGTGGAGGTATTGCAAAGTTTGGGAAAGCTGGAATATATAAATGAAAAAGTAATTATTAAGAGCAAATGTCAGTACTTCCTTTTCTGCCTCCACAAGGGTTAAAATCTCACGCCCAAAGGTTTTTGCCACAAAAAAATTCAACTGATTGGCACAATATTCTTGTTGTGTTTATGATGTAGGATACCTACATTCACAAAGGTAATTGTCAGTCATTAAGTGATAACACTATCCCTGACTCTGATTGTGTGGTGTGGAAAAATATATTGAGATAGTTGAGACGAATCGAGATAATTAACTGGTGTATGAAATTCATTGGAAAAAAACACAAGCCAAATGGTCTGTTTATTTCTTCCCAATTCTAATTTCAGTGAATTCAATTTGTTTTATTCATTGGAGAAGGAGGGGGTCATCATTGCTACACAATAAACAAAATACATACACTAACATCTTGAAAAGAAAAGAATGAAGGCTTAAAGAAACATTCTGTTTATAATCTCTCCCAGTCTTTTTTTTTTAAAAAAATCCTTTATTCTAGTGGCTTTTTAAAAATTAAACATGGAGGGATTTGCCCTAAAAATTACTTCTAGTATAGGTGATCCTTGCTTACCAACCGCAATAGGGACTGGAGGAAATCACTATGAATCATTAAGTTGATGTCATGTGACTGTGACTTGTGGTTTCCTGCTTTGCTTCCCCATTGGCTTTGCCTATTGGAATCTAGTTGTGAAGGTTGCAAATAGCAACAGGTGACCCCAGGATGCTTCAACCATTGTAAACGTGCAGTAGTTGCAAAGCACCTAAATTGCTGTTATGAAACTGTGGGGATGCTACAATGGTTGCAGTTCAAGGGAGAGTCAGCACCATTGTAAGTTTGAACAGGTGCTGAACAAAGCAGTTATTTGGTGAGGAGTACTGTATATTTCAGAAAGCCATTGTCTTTCTGTCTTTATATGTAGAAAAGACTATAGATATTATCAAACTATAACTGAAAGGGGTGAAATAAGAGAGGGAACTATATTTAGAATTTCATTAAAAATTGAAAATTGTAATCCATCTGCTTCCTAACAACTCCTTCATTCCTCCAGTGGCTACATAATAGATTTTGATAGGCCTTTAAAATCCTTTTAAGTATAACTTGCATCAATAGAGATTTCTAATATTCCCTTAGGAGATCACTCTGCATTCTCCTTCATTAAAACAGAGCTAAACCTCATTAAATACATAGCATATATTTTATTTTATTTTTCTTCCAATAATTGTTTATCAGAATAATACTTGATGATCAGTTACTTTGCTGGGCCTTACAGATCTAATTAAACATTGTATATAAACACTGTTTTTCAAATAACTCTTCAAGCTTAAAATACTTGTTAGAATACAAAAGTATGTAACAAAATACCATAAATATAATGACAATACATATGTAATAAAAATGCCTGAGCAGGGGGTTGGACTCGATGACCTCCAAGGTCCCTTCCAACTTTATTATTATTATTATTATTATTATTATTATTATTATTATTATTATTATTATTATTTATATGTAAAGTAAAGTGGGGACTTTTTGAGTGGGACATAGAAGCTTAGGTCTTCCTTTGCGGTCCTGTGACGAGGACCCTCATATTTTTTATTAAAAGCATTTGCTTGTACATCTCAGTTACGTTCCCAGTAGACAATTTAATCTGATGTTTATTTTAATTTCAGTAGTTATAATTAGCTTGTAAAATCAAATTTGCTTATCTTCAGGTCACCTTATTCACTATTATGATGGCAATAAATTAATATCATTTTAGTTCCCCCATTTAGCACAACAGACAAGACAATAGTAAAACATCTGGTCCCCTTTAATTTACTCAGTTCAGAAAGAGTGGGAACAAAATAAAAATTCTTCATTTTCTACTTTCCTTCAGAAGAGGAAATTCTCTTTCCATTGTTCCTTTTAAAAAGAATCATCTGGGTTCGCTGTCTTGATCACAGCATCCAGATTCTCTCCTGTAGCTGTGGGCAACTATCACATAGTAGTCTATTGACACACAATATTGTACTCAAGTTATCATGCTTGATTGATTGCATGCCATCGAGTCATGTTCAACCCCTAGCAGCCACACAGATAGATTTTCTCCTTGATGAGCTGTCCCTACCCTTGGTCTTTCAGGAATTCCAACGGTGCACCTATCACCATTATAACTGAATGCATTACTTTCTGCTAGTCATCCTCTTCTTCTTTTTAAGTAGGATAAAGTTATCTTTTCTGTACTCCAAAGTACAGAAGGATAGAGTTACCCCAGTTTGCTGCAGCTAAGTGTGAATGCATGTATACTTAACTTAAAAAAAAGAAAAGATGCATGTGTGCTTAAGTTTAAAAAGGAAAAAAAGAAAAAGTCAACAAGTGTGACCAGCTCTTCTTACAAGACAGATCACATTTCCCTTTACTTAGACATTGTCCGTGAGAGACTTCCTATTTTTCAGGCTTGGTTTCAGTCTCTGCAACTGGTTCTTTAATGTTAGGTTAAACCTCCCTTGTCTCATTAGAATACCAAGCAGACATGGGCAGGTTTTTTTTTCCCTTCCTTCCTTTTCTGATTTCTTGTATTATCATTTGAGAAAAACAATTCCAATTTATACCCAGTATGAGAAGGAATTTTGTCAGAAAGAGAAATGTAGCATTTATAATAAATCTATTAGTTCCTACCACAATAAATTCAAATTTGAGTCTATTTTACTTAAACCCAAACCCCAAACAAGAGCAAAGTAGTTGTACAGAAACCAGCAGATTAAACTTGTACAGTATATCCATTCAGTTTTATAATCACATTTCCTTATCTCCAGGAAACAGGCCTTGAGGCAAGCAAAATAAACAAGCATTATTTATTTATTTATTTATTTATTTATTTATTTTGATTTATATCCCGCCCTTCTCCCAACGGGACTCAGGGCGGCTCACAACATATTTAAAAACATAGACATATTGACAACCCCCACGAGATAAAACCAAATTAAACCAATATTTAAAGTTGTGCAGTTAAAATTATTCTTAAAAAACCCGATTTAAAAACCCAATTTAAAATCCTCCCTAGGCCAGGCCCGCTTGCTGGAAAAGCCATGTCTTGAGGGCGCGGCGGAAAGTAAGGAGATCCGGAATCATCCGGATCTCGGGGGGTAGTTCGTTCCAGAGGGTGGGGGCACCCACAGAGAAGGCCCTCCC